CTGCTTGGCCTGCTGTGTTCATCCAGCTCTACACCTTGTTAACTTGAAGTTTGAATTGGATTGTGTATCTGTTGTTCTTCCCTTTTGCCATATTATCAGATGATGTGTGCTTGCCAGGAACATCTCTTCAGTACAACCAGAGAGGAAAAAAAATGAGCTGAGGAAAAGTACATAATTCAAAAGAATTGGTGGATATGACCATAATTTCAAGAGATTAAAATGACAAATAGTAACAGTTTATCAGGGCTTTGTTTGGTTCAGAGGGTGGGATTGGTGGAAAAGCAATTTCAGACCTTGTAAATATTTGTGGTATCTGATGTCTTACTGGCATCCTGTGTCTAAATGGATACATAACTGGTGGTATTTTTCATGTCAACTTCATATGATATAATATGAAGCATGGTACCTGGGAATGTTCTGATTAAAGTGTAGGTAATCTAGTAGAATGATTACAACATCAGGGATATGAAATTGTGGTGACTTGTGTTGAAGCCAAAAACATTTTTAAAATATCATTCTATCCCTCAAAAACTATCACAGAGGTGTGCCTGCATAGAAGGAGGCTATTTGGCCCATCATTTCTGCACTGCCTGTCCAAATGTACATCGTGACTTGGTGCTATTTTCCTGTTTTTTCCCTGTATTCTTGATCATTGCTTCTATTTAAATAATCATCTAATGCCCTCATGAATGTCTCAGTTGAGCCTGTCTCCACCACAATTCCAGGCATTCTACGTAGTATCTACTGACTGTGTGAATAAGTTTTGTTCATTTTACATTAGCTTATTTTGCAAATCACTTTAATTCTCAGTCTTGATCCTTTTACGTACAGACGTAGTTTCTCCCTAACTTCTTTATCTGGACTGCACATAATCTTGTAAACTTCTGTCAGATCTACTCTTCTTGGCTGCCTTCTTTCCAATTTTTCCTCGTAGCTCAACTGTCTCATCCCTGGAACCATTCTTGTAAATCTTTTCCATACACTCCAATGTTTCACATCATTCTTATGGTCTTGTGCCCTGAGCTGTACACAGCGCTCTAGCTGAGGTCAAACAGGAATTTAGCTTCTCGCCAATAAGTTGCAGAAATGGCCCTTACCACCTCAAATTTCTCTTTTTGTTCAGGTTCACTGTTCAGTTTTTTTAAGCTCCTGACATGATTGGAACACTGAGCAGAAGTGAGAGATCTTCAGTTATCAAAGGAATATTTGTCTTCTGATTTTTTTTGCTGCTAGTGAATGATGTCCACATCAGTCAATTCTGTAAATTCAGGGAAGGCCAGGATATATCTTTACAATGTGCTGGTTTTATTTTAATGGAACTCAGGTGTTGTTAATGTGCTTCAAATTAATGAATATTACAGAGGGAAAAAATGAGTTATGTTATGTGTTTTTCTTATGTTTCAGGTACAGGGACTCTGTTCACCTTGGCTTTGTTAGCCATTACACAAGCTGCCACTGTTAAACACTATTTGTCAGATTCTGATATTGAAAGATTAGCGCAAACTTTAAAACAACCTTATATTAATTTGGAGAATGCCTATTACACCATAGTTGGCTTGCAAAAGCTTGGGGATCAAGTACCAGATGAACAGGTAAGTAGTTGTAAAAAGAGAATGTATAACCTAATCAGATTTCACTAGCTCGCAAGCTGTATTTATGCAACATCTTTCAACATTGTAAATTATCCAAGCCATTGCACAAGAGCTTAATAAAATGGATTGACACTGAACCATACAGTGAGACATTCACTCAGATGTCCAAAGGCTTGATCAAGGAGGTAAATTTAAATAGGGAAAGTGGGACAGAAAAGTGTAGTATAGAAATTCCAGAGTTTAAATCCTAGAGCACTTGAAGGGGCAGCTACTAATGGCAAAATGTCTAAACTAAGGTTGCTTGGGGGGCCAGAGGCAGATATGAAAAGAGTCTCTGAGGGTTATGGCTTGAGGAAATGAACATAAGGGAGGAGTGAGGCCCTGAAGGAGTGAACAAGCATTAACATTTTGAAATCAAAACTTTGATTGACGTGAAGCCAGTGTAGATCAAACATAGGATGAAGTCAAGTCGAAAGGTAAGAAAGGCATGATGAGAGTTTCAGCAGTAATGAGTTGAGGTGAGCATAGTTGGGTACTGTTACAGAGATGTCGGTAGGTAATCTTGATGGCATGACGGCGTGGTCAGAAACCCCTGTTAGGGTCAAATATGACACCAATGTAGCCAACCTACTGGTTTTGCCTTAGCTAGAGAGAGGAGTGCAATCAGTAATTTGAGAACAGAATTACAAGTGGCGATTGTTTTATGTGGATTTGGTCTTCCACATATTTAGTTGAAGGAAATCTTTGTTCATCCAGTTCTGGATGTTGAATCAGCAGTCTGATTCTTTAGCAATAGCAGAGGAGATGCCTTCTCTTGTAATCTTTGCATTGTCATAGAATCACCTCAGCTCTCCCCCTTCCTTATGGATGTGGTTACACCATCTGCAGGTGTGATATCAGTTTTCACGTAAAGACTGATTGCATCCACGTACTGTATCCCTCTAGAAACCCTAAATCCTTCCACTATCTTGCCTTGCAATTATCCTTATTGGATGTGTCTACTCTCCCTTTCCCTCTATTTATTTTTATTTATTTGTTATTTGATTCTGTTTGCACATTTTACCTATATGGATAACGTTGAAGCATTAAATGGTGATGTGGTGTGATATTTTGGAACACTGATATTATGTGCTGAGTTACAATGTTACAGTAGGTGGATGCAATCAGTGTTTATGTGAACAGGAATAGGTCATTCAGCCACTCGAGCCTGTTCCACCATTCATTGAGATCATGGCTGATCTGTGGCCTAACTGTAAATACCTGCCTTTGGCCCATATCCCTTAATACTTTCGCTTAACAAAAATTTGATCTATCTCAGTTTTAGAATTAACAACTGATCCAGCATCCACTGCTATTTGTGGAAGAGACTTCCAAATGTCTACCACTCTTGAGTGTAGAAGTGCTTTGAAGTAGTGTTTGATCCAACATACTAAGGATTTCCCCCACCCTTAAATGTAGCTAGTGCCAACTGATGAGAAATAAGGAAGGTACTAAAGGTAATGAGAACTTAAAAGTTTGGTTACATATTCTGCATTTAAGGAAAATTGATAAGCCTCAAGAATAGAACATCTTTCGTGAGGCAATTAAGAGTTTTGTAAATCTAGTATCTTTAACATATTTGGTAAAGCTTTATGAGTGCAGAGTTTTGTGGTTTGTCCATGACTGCATTTTAATAATTTGGTTTTGTTTTCTTATCAATGTAAAGATTAGTATTGGAAATTAGTCAGTTATCTGTTTTGCTAAATTATACTCTTAACAATTTTGGAACCACAATGAATGGATTGTTCCATCAGTTTTTTTTTAAAAGACGTGTAAGCAATTAAAACTATTTTTTGTTGTTTCTTGAGTAGAAATAATTATCTAATTGCAGAAGGTGATTTCTGGATCTGTTTTTTTCAATCAGGCCGCTTGCAACTTTTTGAAATCACAAGTAGATTCCAGAAATGTTGATTCTCTTTTCTACGCTGCTGAAGCAAGTCAAGCCCTCTCTAATTGTGAAGTAAGTTATGCAGAAACTAACTTAAGAAATGCTTTATTTTACTGTTGTGCAATGAAAAGCTATTTAAAAGTAATTTGTGATTTAGTTGGCTTTCTATGGACCCAAGCAAGGTACAAGTTGCAGGACCTCTTTGGACAATTGTAATTTCTGTCATAAAATGGTGATATTTTACTGAAGGACCTGTATGAAATACAGAAGTAGCAGTCATACTGGAAGTGTGATGTTCTGAATGGCATTTGTACAAGCATGTTTTAAACACTAATACTAGTTTGCTTAGCTGTATCTGTTAAGATTTAATAGTACATGATAGAAACTTCATGACATTAATGCTGCCAGCTTTACATTGAGCTACCTCCATCACGTTTCTGTAGCAGTGGAAAGTTAGTACAACTCTGTCCAGCGTGGACTATTGTCATATAGTGTAGTGTAAAGGACATCACAGTATTAGTAGCAATCTTCTTGCCTGGGACAGCACTTCAATATTATTTTTGTGTTGAAGTGCAGTCGACAAACTAAAATGCAGCCCCTTTACTTCATAGATGTGTGCATCTACTCTGTTGAGCTGTGGAAAACGATGGTGTCCTATGAGAGCTGACAAGTGGGAGGGGGTGCAACTGTGAATGACTGTGCAACAAATAGGAAAGGCAATTAGCAGATCCTTACTTTTGCCTCAAATGTATTCATAGATTAAAGTCAGCAATGAAACTCGAGATCTCTTGTTGGCAGCTGTGAGCGATGATTCTTCAATTACCCAGATTTACCACGCAGTTGGAGCTTTGAGTAATTTTGGCCTTCCTGTGGCATCTCGGGATGTTCTTGCAGCCCTTTCTGCTCACATTTCTAAGGATGATGGATCCTTGGGGTAAGGCTTTCCTTTTCTCAGTTATTGGCAAGCCTTAGAAATTTGAAGTAGTCAATTCATTTCAGTGTGACTGTAATGAAGGTGAATTGTGGGCTTGAAAGTATAGAGGGATGGAGAAGTCTCGAGCCTTGACCCCTGACAATCAAATTCCTGAAGCCCAGGCAATTCAGCTGTAGTTGTGCTTTTATTTCTTAATCACTGGTTTGTCCTGCTTAAATTTTGCAATCCTGGAAGTGGGTAATAAGTACTGTTGTCTTATTAGTCGATAATCCAAAATTAGATCAGTGAGGCCTGTTAATAGCATATTGAATTAAATGCAGCTGAATAAAAATACATGGATTAAACTTTATATACACCTCCTAACATCCAATGGTGCATAAAGATGAATGTTTGAACAGACCAAACTCCCTCAAAATATATTAAGAAAATAGCCTAGACCCTAACTTCTTATTTTAAAGGTTAATATGTATTCCAGATGCAATTTGACTGGTCAATCTACTTGATTTTAAGCAAATCACACTTTATTTTTACACTACAGTTAAAATGCAGACAAAATAAAAGAATTGGCTTAACTGTAACTATTGAAATTCATAACAAAATAATATTAACAAATTAACTGTTCAAATATAGTAACATCTCATAAGCACACCCTTGGCAAAGGCAAATTCAGTAAAATAGATTGTCTCATTTGCAATTCCAGCAGCCAGAAGAGAACCCCAGCTTTTAGCTGTAACAAAAGGAGGAATAAGAGTTTCCACATCCAACTTCAAGACTCCAGCAACTACAGAAAGCTAAAACAAAAAAAATCCTGGTTCTGTGGAAGCTTGACTCCCCCAGTCAAGCTGCTCCTATTGTTCCAAATTTTTAATTGAAAAACCCAAGACCTCACAAGCTGTCTACTTCATTGGCTTTGAGCAGACTAGTCTTCACCTTTGTCTCAGCCATTTTTCAATAAAAAAAAACTAGGACAAAATGCACCTCTTAAAGCCGTAGCGTTGTCACACTGTACTTGGAAATACTGATCAGAGATTGCAAATGTAATTGAGATTAGAGAAAATGTTATGCTTTACTTAGTCGCTAACAGTACCATGTAGTGCATAAATTTGAGAAGTAGGAAAGTATTAGGACAGCACAGTGGTTCGGTGGTTAGCACTGCTGCCTCACAGCCCCAGGGACCAGATTCAGTTCCACCCTCGGGCGACTGTGAAGTTTGCACATTCTCCTCGTATTTGCGTGGGTATCCGCTGGATGCTCCAGTTTCCTCCCACAGTCCAGTGATGTGCAGGTTAAGTTGATTTGCCATGCTAAATTGCCCATAGGCCCTGATTGTTCAGGGATGTGTAGATTAGGTGTGTTAACTATGGGAAATGCAGGGTTGTAGGGGGATGGGCCTGGGTGGTTGTTCTTCACAGGATTGGTGTGGAGTTGTTGGGCCAAAGGGCCTGTTTCCACACTGTACAGATTCAATGATTTCATTCTTCTGAAGTGTATGGAGAAAGTTATCTGAGAATGATGGAAAAAGTCATTTTGGTTCAAAGGGATAGTATGAAAAGTGCAAAACCAAATCAACCTGAATCTTGGTAAAATAGGTAATCTCGGATCATTCCAACTTGTTGATTTACAGAAATAGTAAGATTACAGATACACTACATTAGTATAGTTTGATTATTCTAGTTTTCTTTTACCAGTTACATTGTGACAAGAGATTGTAGGGCCAGTAAATGAAGCCTCTTCTGATCACCACTTCAATGTACAGTAATGATGTGAGATTGCAAATATATAAATAGAAATTTGTGGTTACATTTGCCATGGTGACAATTGAATGAAAATAGTTAGTGATGCTGACTATAATAAATTTAACATATAAAGGGGAATGCATCTTTTACAATTAACATCCTTGAATATGGTGTTGTTTCTTACAGAATTATCCATGCATTGTTTGCAGCTTCTTACCTATCTCAGCAGGCTAATCTAAGGAGCATTCTGGAAGAGATTGAGGTATATACTTTTTTTTCCAGTACTGGAATCAGGAAAAGTAAGGTTGCCATTGGTGACAAGTGGATTGCATTTAAGTTTTAAAAAAAATTCAGTTTGTCTTAGAATGAAGCATTCCTGTCTGCAGTATAGATAGGATCAATGATAAACCTGTGTCTGTAAACACTAAACAAAGATTGCAATATTATATATGCAAATTCTAAAGCAATGATAATATTGTTTGTATGCACGCTTGTGAATTTCTGCCCAGTTAAATAAAGGTAATTCACAACTTTTTTGAGATTTTACAATTGATGTCTTTTATTTGCGCAGAACTAATTTTGGTTTTGTTTCAAAAGTATTATAACTTTTCAGCAAATAGTTACGTGCACTTTGGAAACTACTTTATATTCAATATTATGAAAAAACCAAAAAATGCTTCTCCCTTTTAAAATATAACTAAATTTACAACTTGATCAGTATGACAATTTTACATGTCACCTAAGGCAGAATTTATGGCATGCTGTCATTATTATACTCCTGTAATATAATGCTTTGAGCCATTTTCCCTTTCTACTAATCATGTCTGAGAGGCTCCCGTGTCCTGAGACAAATTCCAAATTGCTTGTTACCTTACTTTTCTTAAATATATGTTGTAGTTCTATTAATGGAAAAACAGACTAGTGGAACTCCCATAGCACCAGGTAATCAAGCCTCTTATTTTACAACAGAGAACTAACTTAAGTGATTCACAGGTTGGCTTATACATTTGGAGGCTCTACTATTCGTATCCTACTGCAACAAAATCTTGAACATTTTTAAAAATATATTGAGATTCGGGTTATATCCTTCACAAAGGCACTATCTTTGGGAAGCAGAGTGATGCCAAAGTTGGTGGTTCAATTCCTACACCAGGTGTTGAACTTTCTCAACCCCCCGCCCACCCACTAAGAAAAAGAAATAGAGGTATGATGATTGTTGGGTTAAGCTCACTACCAGTCACCTCTGTAGATGGAGAGGTACCTTTCAGATATCAAATATCTCTCTGATTTAGAGTAGAATTGAGATTAAACATTTTTCCTCAACAATAGGATGTAAATTTCATTTGTACTGTCTAAAATCAAGCATTTTGTGACAAATTCCTTTGTAAACATGTTTGCTATGAGTATTTTTTGGATTTCTGGATTTGTTTTACCTTTTATCTTATTTTTCTTTTGCTTCCAGACTTGTAGTTCAGCTTTATTGTTTTCCCACGTTCTGATGCCTAGATAAAATTAATAACTGTCTGGGAAATAGCACTTTTTTACGAGTTGCATCCCATACCTCACTGGATCTTTCTTATTTTCAGAAGATAGGAAAATAATGCTATACTAGACTTTGTTTAAGGCTGAAGTTGCCGGACAAATCCAGTTACAGCTACAAAACAAGCAATCAGTACGTTTTACAGCAGTTGTTAAAATGTTCAAGTGCAATTAAAAATGAGTAGTAGGCACTTCACTAAACTATGTTCAGCTTAATTTTCCTACTTAGTTCTTGTTAGTCACCAAATATGGAAGTATCTGACTTGACCAGCTTCCTGTATACGAGTTCCAGGGAATATGATTTCACTGGAAAATGCAGTCAGATAAATTGCTTTGAAAGAACTACCAAGATCTTTAGAATTCACCTAGTTTAAAGGCAGCTGTTAATCAAATAGATATTTGAACAAATTGCTTTGTGTATTTGTACAATTTTAAAAAGCCAAAAGATTATTGAAACAAAAATAAGCCGGAAGATTCTCTAGTGTATTAGGGTTATTTTTAACTACAATACACTTATAAACCTGAAGAAGCCAATATACTCAAGTGCTGATTCTTTAAAAAAAATTCTTGGTACAGATACTCTGCTAACAGATTGTCATTATTTCAGTGAGTAATTGGTGTGGATTACATTGCCTTGTTTCTTGTCTAGACATTTCCCATTTATTCTGTGCTCTGTTCCTTATCCTCTGCTTACTTCTCGCTGTGAAATCCATGGCATGCTTGCTTAAGATAAGCAATACTTTCTTTAATGCTGCAAATGTTGATGAGACTTTCACCCTTAGAGTGATAAAAGGAATAGTGACAGAGTACTCAAGCAATCTTACCATTCATAATAGAAATAAATGTTCAGAATTTTGACTATGAAGTTATTCTAAAGTTTTAAGTAGATTAACTACTGCCATGACAAATATCAATTATAACATTTGGAGAAGAACAATTCAGAACCAGTTATGGAAGCCTCACAGTGCTTCTGTGAAGTTGTCTTGATTTTAAACAGCATGAAGGTATACCACACAAAACAAAACTTTTCAATGTAAACAATAACATAAGTTCAAGTTTTTTCTTAATTTAGGGGGAAGAAAGCCTCTTATTGTTAACTTTTTGTTTAGGATCTGGTTGCACGTCTTGATGATTTGGGAGGCATTTATCTTCAATTCGAAGAAGGATTAGAAACAACTGCATTGTTTGTGGGTGCAGCATATAAGCTTTCTGACCATGCTGGAACAGAGCCCGCAATCAAAGAGGTAAGCACAGTGAAACTGAAAGAATTAGTTATGTTGTAGAGCTAATACTCAGTTTACTTAAAAAGAAAAGTCTTAAGTGATGTTGTACCTCCAATTATATTCTCAAACATCCACATATACATTTTGCAAAAATTCTATGCTAGCCCAAGGAACATCTTAATGCATCTAGGCATTCAGAATATTTTGTTTAAGCCACTTTCCATGGGGACCAAGATATGCTACCTCCTGGTTCATGGTAGATCGGTCACCATTGTATTAACTTTATTTTTCCTGCATAGTATGAGAAAACCTGATTAGGCAGCCTTAGCACTCTGGTAATGCACCAGCCTCCAAAGTAGAAACCCACAGGTGCAGGTCCCACACCGGAGCCCAGAGTTGTACGTGGTTTTCAGAGCTGGGTCATACTGAGATTTTATGTAGGTTTATAATTTCAGCAACAGACATGTTCAGACTTTGCACCCATCTGATTTGATTTGTTACTGTCACCTGTACCGAGGTACAGTGAAAAGTGTTGTCTTGCACGCTTTACAGGCTGATTGTGCTACATAAGTGCATCAGGGTAACAGAACAGAGTGCAGGATACAGTGCATGGCTGCCGAGAAAGTGCAGAGAGATCTACATTAATATTTAAGAGGTCCGTTCAAAAGTCTGATAACTGTGGTGAAGAAGCTGTTCTTGAATCCGTTTGTAGATGTTTTCAAACTTTTATATCTGCCTGGTGGGGGAGGGGTCATTATTATGTTGGTTACTTTCCTGATTCTGCCTGAAGTATTGATGAAGTCAGTGGATGGGAGGCTGGTTTGCTTGATGGACTGGGTTGTGTTCACAGCACTGTAGTTTCTTGTGGTCTTGGGAAGAACCATACCACGCTGTGATGAATCCAGATAGGATGCTTTCCATGGTGCATCTATAAAAATGTGTAAGTGTCTTTATGGACATGCCAAATTTCCTTAGCCTTCTGAGGAAGTTGAGGCGATGTTGTATAAAAACTGAAAGAACTTTAAGTTGCTGGAAAAGCTCAGCAGGCCTGGCAGCATCTGTGAAGGAAAAAACAGGGTTAATGTTTCGGGTCCAGTGACCCTTCCTCAGTTAAAACTGACATTTTCCCAGCCACCATCAGTTTTAACTGAGGAAGGGTCACTGGACCGGAAATGTTAACTCTGTTTTTCCCTTC